GATAGCGCGGCCGCACAGAAGTGGACGCGGGCCGCTTTGCTTGGAAGTGGTCAATTATTTGGCTTTCTGAATCTCTGCTCTGCGGACCGCATAAAAGTGTAGCGCGGCCGCACAGCCTGACCACGGACCGCGTGAAAACAACCGCGGCCGCGCAGCCTTCCCTTCAACTCTGCCATTCTCTGAACCTCCTAGTGCGGCCGCGGTCACAGTTGCGCGGTCCGCACTAGGGCCTCTTTTCCTCAACTTCCTTGATCTTTGACACTTGAGCAGGTTTCACTCCTTTCTGAGCCGATAATTGACTTTCGTCGCTTTGTCGATCAAACCTGCAATCAAGTACAACTTGTGAGCATTTTGGGACTATTTTGTATCAATTTATAACCAAAGCGTAGGCAAGTAGGGGTATAAAACACATTAAAATCCTAACTTATCAACACTCAAAACAAGCTCTGGGAGGGCGTGGCAGCTGTGACTGTCTCGGGTCAGGTCTGTTGGACTGACCACTGAAAGCACCCCGTGCAGGAGGCGCACTAGATACTGGAGGTGCATAATAAGGCTCCTGAGGTCAAGGAGGAGCTGGAATACCACTGGCTGCTGGAAGATATGAATGAATGGGGCGACTCACATAACCCCTACCATGACGAACTGCAGTTGGGGCACGGGCACCAGAATAATGGTCCCGACTCTCGAGACCTCTTAGCCTCTCTCTCCTCCCTATCCCGAGCAAGCATGCCCTCTACTCTCCTAGCAATACTCACCACCTGCTGATAGGCGATATCCATCTCTAACTCTCAGCCATGCTAGACCAGATGCTAGGAATGAGCCCTTCAATAAACCGGCGAACTCTCTCACGAACCGTAGAAACCAAGGTCGGTGCATGTCTAGCCAAGTCACTGAAACGGATAGCATACTCCGAAACAGTCATAGTACCCTGGCGCAAATGCTCAAACTCTGCGCGCCATGCGTCCCTGAGGCTCTGAGGGACATACTACCTCAAAAACATATCCGAAAACTGGGTCCATGTAAGGGAAACTGCCTCAGCCGGACTATCCAACTCAAAAGTACGCCACCACTGATAGGTTGCCCCTCGAAGCTAGAAGGCAGTGAAATAAACCCCACTCGACTCTGCTATACCCATAGTGCGAAGGATACGGTGGCACTCCTCTAGAAATCCCTGAGCATCCTCTGATGCTAAACCACTGATTCAGTAGGAGGGTCGTACTTCTTGTACCTCTCAAGCCTCCGCTGCTCCTCCTCTGAAACTGTTGCCCTACCCTCGGGCTGAGGTGGGGCTACAGGCGGTACCGGTATAACCTCTGAGATTTGATCAACCTGAACCCACTGCTCTGGAGTGCGGGCGGCGGGAGTCTGTGCTTCTCCCCCGGCCTGAGATGTGGCTGTAGCAAGGGGAATCAACCTTGCCTGAGCAAAAGTGTTGTACATGCTCATGAACTGTGCAAGGGTCTCCTGGAGATCTGGAGTAGTAGTAGTAGTAGGCGTATCAGGCGCCTGGGCTCCGGCTAGAGGTGTTGGTGGCTCCTCTGTAGCAGCTCGCGCGGGTGCTCTAGATGCACCACGTGCGCGTCCTCGCCCTCTACCCCGGCCCGGCCTCTGGCGGCTCTAGCAGGGGGCGCGGGTGCCTGGTCATCTCCGGTAGCACGTGTCCTCACCATCTGTGAGAGAATAGAAGACAGAAATTTAGAATTTCGAAGTCAATAATCTCGCACGACAAGGAATCAAATGAAGTAGAATTTTCCTAACAGTTCCATAGCCTCTCGAAGATAAGTACAGACGTCTCCATACCGATCCGCGAGACTCTAATAAACTGGCTTGTGATCCATGACACGTATGAACCTAGAGCTCTGATACCAACTTGTCACGACCCAAGTTCTCCCTCCGTGAACTGTCGTGACGGCACCTAATCTCTACGACTAGGTAAGCCTAACAATTTGCGGAAATGAAACAAAAATACGAAAACTAACAATTAACAGGTAAATATAATAAAGGAGTTTAAAATGCCACTCGGCATATATAATAAAAACACTCTCGATCTTAACATAAGCACTCCCAAAACCCGGAATCTCATTAATCACAAGCTACAGAAGTACATAGTGTTTCTAACTCCAGAAATCTAACAACGAAGAAAAATATAGGAAGTCTATAACTGAAGGAGGAATAGAGAGAGACTTCTGGGTCTGCGGATGCGGCAAATATACCTCGAAGTCTCTAAGATCGCCCCGCCTCACTGGAAGTATGGCTGAGAAGAAGTACCTGGATCTGCACACGAAAAACATGTACAGGAAAGGGCATGAGTACACCACAGCGGTACCCAGTAAGTGTCAAGCCTAACCTCGGTCGAGTAGTGACGAGATCAAGTCAGGGCCCTACTAGTTTATACATATAATAAGATAAAACAGTATGAAATATCGCAGTAGAGTTAAAAATGCTAACAGTCAATGAAAAATGAAATTACAAGAAGATATAATTCAGTACACAGATATAGCAACAGGGTATCTCCCGAGATACCGTCCCGTAGTCCCAAACGTAAATATACAGAGGATCTCCCAGGATATCGTCCTGTAGTCCAAATCGTAAATGTGCAGGGGGATCTCCCGGAATACCGTTCCGTAGCCCCAAAGTAAATATCCAGTACAGGGGGATATCCCGGGATACCATCCCGTAGTCCCAAACATAAACATATAGGGGGTATCCCGAAATACCGTTCCGTAGTCCCAAAATAAATACACAACTCATTCCATAAATATAGCTACAAGCAACTCATTTAACTAATGAATTCAAAGCTAAGGCAAGAAAATAAAAAAACGCCCAAAAATCCTCCCCGGGCCCACGTCTCGGAAGCGAGTAAAAATCACAAATTATGAACACACATTCACTCACGAGTTCACTCGTACAAAAATCATCCCAATCCGACGTCAAATTCATATTCAAAACTCAGATTTTTAATTGGGGAACTTTTTCCCCCATTTCCAAACTTCCACTCCCAAATTCCTTACTTAGATAAGGAAAACAACAATAGATTAATGTATTAGGACCAAATTAGAGTTAGAATTCGTTACCCAAAAGTTCTCCTTCAAAAACCCTCGAGGAATCGCCTCCTACCGAGCTCCAAATCAAATTTGAGTTATGAAATTTCAAACCCTCAAAATCCTCTTTTCTGCCAACGATTTCTGCATCTGCGATCATGGGGTCGCATCTACGGTCCCGCACCTGCGGAAAAATCATCGCAGGTGCGAAGGTCACTTATCCGGGCCGGGGCCGTATCTGCGGTCACTGGGCCGCATCTGCGGTCCCCCAGCCGCACCTGCGGTTCCCGTTGCCTTGATCCATTTTCGCTTCTGCAGTCCTACATCCGCAGGTGCAATTCTATTAGGTTTAGCAAACTTCAGAAAATGCCTAAGTCCAAATCAAATCCGTTAAGCATCCGAAACTCACCCGAGGCCCCCGGGACCTCAACCAAATATACCAACCAATCCTAAAACATCATACGAACTTAGTCGAGCCCTCAAATCACATCAAACAACGCTAAAACCCTGAATCACCCTCCAATCCAAACCTAATGAACTTGAATTTCCAAAAATCTACAACTGATGCCGAAACCAACCAAACCATGTCCGATTGACCACAAATTTTGCACACAAGTCATATTCACCACTACGGACTTATTCCAGCTTCCGGAATCGGATTCCGACCCCGATATCAAAAATTCCACTATCGGCCCGAAACTCCAAAAATTCAACTTTCGCCATTTCAAGCCTAAATAAGCTACAGACATCCAAAACACAATCTGGACACGCTCCTAAGCCCAAAATCACCCAACGGAGCTAACGGAATTGATGGAATTCCATTCCGAAGCCGTCTTCACACTGCTCCGACTACGGTCCAAATTCTAAGACTTAAACTCTCCTTTAGGGACTAAGTGTCCCAAAACACTCCGAAACTCAAGATGAACCATCCCGACAAATCACAATAGCAAAAAAAGACACGAGGAGAGCAGTTAATAGGGGATCGGGGCGTTAATTCTCAAAACGACCGGCCGGGTCGTTACAATCCTGTTCTTTGATTTGAACGGTGCAGATTGGATTTTGCTATCTGGAACTTCCCAAAACTGGACGTGAACAGTAGCCCTGTTTCGGGTGATTTCTCTCCTTCTCGTCTCTAGTTTGGTCTATCTTATTTGTGTTGTTGCTCGTTGTTTGGCACTTTATTTGTAGCCACTTTGAGAACAATATGTACTCTTGTTGATTGATTTAGCAGAGTTTTTGTGGGCTAACCGTGATTCTCTTCACGTTGAAAGGGTTTTCCACGTAAATTTGTTGTCTCGTGTCCTGATTACTTTTGCCTTGTTATTTTTCGTTTGTGTATAGTATAGTTGCTGCCCGTATCACCATTTGTGCCAATTTTATTGTCTTCTCTTGGTTCAAGTAAATTGGGAAGATTTAGGCTTGGATTGTTTCCGCTATTTGTCTAGTCCTGCAATTTGGTATTGCTTGTTTCCTCCCAACAGTAGTAATAGCTCTGTAACTGACAATAAAGTAGTTGCCAACTCCAGGTGACAAACTACTAAGATTAGTTGAAACAATACAACAGCATTGGTTTATATCTCTCAACCAAAAGTGAGTCTTGATTAGTTGAAATTAGTGATGAAATGCTGCTTACAATTGCTCACTGACTACGGTATCTCAACAACATTCTCATTGACGCAGAGAGCCTAATGTTGAAGAAAGAGCATATCAGTTGGAAGGTCAATTTTTTAAAACAAAAATCTCAATTTACAAGAAATTTCTTGCTGAATAATCTCACACGATAAAAACCATACAATCTCATATCCTAGATGAATAAATTAGAAATTGCCACCATATAACGCTTTATTCCTAAGACAAACCAAACCTCCTTTTACTGGAAGACAAATTGGAGGGCATAAAACTTTCAAGAACATATTTGCTTATATCATTTCTTACTTGTCCAAGAACCACAGGAATCAATACTCCAAAAGACGTCGCAGCACTTCAAAACTTTATCTACAAGCAATTGGACCTACAGAATGAAGCCATACCCAAAAAGTAATTCTGTAGCCATACCCAAAAAGTAAAAACATAGTCCTAGGTGCTAAACCAATTTATTAACATAGAGAAAAAGAAAACAGTCAAAACCACAACTAGTTTTGCTAAGGATGTTAAGCTAGAATATTCGAATAAATTATATCCTAAACCTGATAAGGTTACATAGTCGGGGTAAATGTGCAAGATGGTAATCTGAATGGTCATTCAATCACTAGAAAAATCTTCATAACTCAAGCCTTCTGATATAATATCCAACCCGTTAATGTCTGCCAAAAAATAGGAACAGATATAAGTACTGGTACACTAAGCTGAAGAATTCAATGTTACATGCCACACAACTAACCTTGATGTTCTGCCCTACCCTGAGGGTCCAAATAATTGTTAGTATCTGTTGCAAGGAATGCTGATCCAGAGTAGCCCTCTAGAATATCTGTATAGAACAGAAAGTCAAAACATATAAACAATGTAAAAGTGAGCAAGATATTAATCCAGAAGAGAAGACAGGCACAAACCAGAACTGTTACTAAAATCAGCTGTTAAGTCCGACAAACTGAAGTTTCGAGGAATCTGTCCCAAGAAACCAAAGGAAGAAGTATCAGCACCCAAGCCGTTTCCATTCAGAGCTTGTGAATTTGACCCTACATTGCTGAATGGTGGAACAGATGGATCCCCAATTCCAGGACGAGCCTCCAGGACATTGCTCTCACTACCATATAGGAAGCGTGAGTCGCCTGAATAACCAGCTGATTTGATCATCCCATCATTCGGTCCTTGCATCATTCCCAGGTTTGAGCTTTGAGACAATAGCATGCTTGGTGATACATCAATTCTTCTTGCATGAGCAGAAACATCGATAGCAGCTTGCACATATGATTGGACTGGGGATGCACCGTTTGTGTATAAATGAGGTGAATTGCCATTAATAGTCTGGTGCATGTTCTCAAGCTTTACATTTTGCCCAGCATGCTCTGTTGCTTGCCATGTTGGGTTCTGTGGCACTGTCAATATGTGATAGCACATAATTACTTTCCTTACAGTACAGGATTTTATTGGATGAAACTACGCAACGTTAAACAATAAAACAGGTATACAAATGTATAGGACGTGTTCAATTTCGCGTTGCTACAATCCACGCTGAATCCGGACAAACATAAAAAGGGAAAGCTAAAATAATACAAATACCATACTTCTCTCACGTTTGACATGAGACTAAAGCAAACAATCCAAAGGGAAAACAGAAGTGGATAGTTCGTTTATCCAAGACTGGAGTTTGTCTTCCGGAAACAAGAGCAGTAAACATGATGTTCTCAACCAAGCACCATTTGAACTCTCATTAGATGTCCTTCAAACTTCAGAAGAGATTAACAATCCCTGATAGAACTATTCTTCATAAAACAATAAGATAAAAGAAAAATTTTCCATATACACTTCCTAATCAGGTAGACGGCTTTCTTTACAATCCATAATAAAAGTGTGGAGCTTGATGATAGGCTATTCCCTACCTTTGCACTTAGCCATATGTCCAACAAGAGTTATCACAAGTGAATTTATTGTAACTAACAGCACAACCTGCTTTATAATGTTCATCAAAAAATCTGTCTTTCGATTTAGTATAATGCTAGTCAATCAAATGCAGAAAATTACCCAATATACATGATTAATACCAAATACACCATTACAGGTGATGGGGGTTCTCTTTTCTTATTTTTTTCTTTCCATTTTTTCTCCATTGGAGGGGGAGCAAGATGCTGTAGCAGAAAAAGCGCGGAAACAGAATATTTACTCATGACTTTAGCCACATGTGAGCTTAAATGGTTAGACCAGATGTTTCTACATTTGGAATGTCAAAGTGGTGAACTACTAAAACTGACTTTTAACAAATAAGCAGCACAAAGTATTGCTTCACTTTTCGTGTTTCACAAAAGAAGCAGATAGCAGTAGATTGCCATTTTATGATCAAGCCAGTATGTATTGCCACAGCTTCATCGCTTCAAATGACCAACTGCTGGATAACCTTATAAATCACTTCGAGGCTCCAAAATTAATCACACCAGCGACAAGGAGTGAATGATATATAAACTGCATCTTGAGGGGCTCATTTGAAATATTTTTAAGTATATATTAGTTAAAAGTTTTTATTAGTTTCTTTTTTTTTTAATAACCAAGTAATCTCTTATGAGTTAGTTCGCGCAATCTCAGTTGGCTTGCAGGTTGAAACTTGGGGAGTATGGGTCCATCCCTCTACCATGGTCCCTCTTAAATACTAGGCTTTTTGTCGATGGTAGAGTTCGAACTCGTGGAGAACCTATCCATACATACCCTGTTGTGTCCTAACTACCGAACCAAAACCATCCGGGCTAGATATGAAAATAGTATGTATCAATTAAGAAGATTTATGCCCGTAATATCTTTTCACATTTTGGTCCAAGTAAATGTTACTTAGGACCCAATATCTTACTTAAGACCCAATATCTTGAGGGAATAATCAAGCTGAACATTCCTAAAAATGTCTCATTCCTTTATCATTCAACAGTTTTTAAATTTGGAAACAAACCCAAGGGCATCAAGTTAAAGTACTTATGAATATAAGAACTAAAACTGTAAAAGCCTAGAAATGTACATTATCAGTTAACCGTAAGTCCAAAGATCAGTAATGTTGTCCTAATAAGATGGGATTGTCAATAATGTATTCAGGTGATTGAAGGATCTATCAACTTCATTAACTTCCAGATGGAAAACATTGGGATACGTATCCAATGATTTTGCAAGGAAAGATTTTGAGACTGCTAATATGATGCTGTAGAGAAAGCCAAAATTTCATTTATTGCTCCCTCTATTTCTATCAAACTTTTACTCAATTTCACATATGAAGATCCAGAAACTAATTTTATCATATCACCAACTTTGACAAGTGCCCACAGTCTCATATTGAAAACACAACCACAGCGCCCAAAGACAGATCCCTCTCGGATGCTTTTTCTGATAAAATCCTTCCCACAACTATCCATATGATTTACATTTCATCTTCCACTTCAAAAGCCTCAGACCTTTCCTTTGACTATCCAACCCAGAATCGTAATAGGGCAATTGTATGAAAAATTAAAGCAAGGAAGCTGAAAACTGGAAAAGGGTGGGGATCTATGCCAAATTTCACTATGGAAAAGAAGAATGATAGCAGAAAATTATTTCCAAGAAGACCAATAGGGATCTATGATATTCATGTCTTACCTGGTTGAATCTGAGATCCATTAGAAATGGGGACGGATCCAGTTGCATACATCTGCATTGCCTCGACCTGTCTCTGAAGCAAGTCATTGAATTTCTGAATTTGATCCTTCACTATCAACCTCAAATAATAAGCCCTGAAAAACTCCTGGTTTTCTTCTTCAAGCTTTTGCCAAACTGGAAAAGAGATCAGGATGTCAAATTTATCTTCCAGTAGACACACATGGAGCACATAGATCACAACCAGATACTTGAGATAAGAAAGGCCAAGCAGAGTCTGAAAGAAATTCTACAAATAATCTCAGATATTTTCATCTCTATCAGAATTAAGCTTAAATATTTGATTTTCGACAGGTAACTAATACTTCTCCGAAATATAAGTAGGGAGGAAACGCCTTCCATAAAAAAGGGAAATGATCTTCTAACAATTTTCTTCCTATAATAATGCTCATAAGAGGTCAATTTTTCTAAATTATTTCCTCGTGGTCATATTGTCTTCCAAATTCAGTAATTTTTATGGAACTTGAGAGAACAGATAAATATGTTACTCTGCAAAAAGAACAGAATGGTAAGAGAGAGAGTATGCACCAAGTTCGGTGAAATCAGGCTCAATCTTTGCCTGATGTAAGAGGGTGTTAACAACTTCCTTCTGGTTCATGTAAAGCTGTAAACATCTTTCTATGAGATTTTGCACCTGAAATCAAAGAAGGTCAGTGTTAGGAGAGTAAAGCTTGTGCAATGCAAGCAATTTCAAAATACAAAAGAACTAATTTTGAACTCCAAGTCATTATTAGTAAGAATGAAGTAAAAGATGCCAAAAGTCATCTCACCAACAAAAATTAAAGGTTCTAATTATTGCCATGAAAACCATTTTTTTGGGTTGGTTTGGGGGGTGGGGGGTTATAAATCGCCAGAGAAACCCTAAATAGAACAAGAATGGTAGCAACATTATCTGAAAGTCCTGAACTGAGAAACAGAAAACACGGAACTAGAAACCTATGACAGATTCGCATGTAATCAACTACATCAACACCTAGGATACAATATACTTTCCATATCAGACCCAAGAAGCCCATTTCCTAGAAGGTCCACCAGAGGATTGTAATGCTGTTCTTTATGATAATTCCCCATGGAACTTGGACAACATGTGAAATAGCAAACAGGTCCATAAGAATATTGCAGTATTCTCCTCTATGATAATCTAATTTAACCAGCGCGGAGGTAGGGTATTCTTTATGGGTTCGGCCGAACCCACTAGCTTTTGCGTAGACCCTTTATTTGTATTAGAAAATCTATTATATTTGTATTAATATATAATTGCGAACCAGTAACTAAAACATGCTATGGATTCGGTGTCAAGTTAGAACCCACAAACTTCAAATCCTAGTTCCGCCTCTGAATATAACCCTTCAAACAGGAAAGAGAACTCCATAGTTCCTTTTTCCTCCCTAATGATTTGTGACTCATATATCTACTGGAGACCGATAAATAAGCTAGATGTTATGGTTCTAAATATAGACTCTAACAGTGATGATCTGTCACCTAACCTATGACCACAAGTAAAGGTAACACAAAATAAATGGACAAAACTGGGAATCAGGCTAAATTAAAGGAAGATAATTTTCAAACAACAGTCTTGCTTGTTTCAAATAACAGCCTTGCTTGCATATTCTGGTATTTGCTTTAATTGAAATATACATTCTTGTTTGACAGGGTTAGGAAACAATTCTTGTGGGAGTGAAGTATCTTTTGCCTTGAAGTAACTTAGAGAGTGGTAAGTATCAAAAATTATATATAAAGATTATCAAATTATTCACACAACTCAATCAAGTACGTGCTCTATGATGATAGGCTATAATTGCATATTTTAGTCGCTTATTACACTCGAATTTACTGCACTTTAATTGAGTTTGCGCTTTAATCGCTAGTGTTTTGCACTAATTGTGTGTTTTATGCCTTGTAGGTGTGATTCCGAGCTATATAGATGTTATGGAATGAATTTAAGTGATTTGAAGCTTTGAAGTCTGAGTAAAAGCTCAAGGAATTAAGCCGGGATCGTGTTCGGGGGTCAAATTTGATAATTAAGTACGAACGAAGACTTGAGGAGGCATATTGCGCACTGTCTAGTAAAATAGACATAACTTTTTGCTCAGAACTCCATTTGGGCTCCACAATATATGGTTGGAAAGCTAACTCAAAGGGCTACAACTTTTATGTTTTACGTTTTTCCAAATTCCAAACGGAACAGTGTGAAAAACCGCGGTTCCACCGCGGTAGAAGATGGTCGCGGACAACTGAAGAATCAGAGGGCATGTTTGGCCGCGGTTTCACCGCGACCGCGGCAAAACCGCGGCAGGAGGCGGAAATTTCAGGGACTTATGTGCAAAACACGGGATTTTAAGCCCTAAACCCTATATTAAACCAAGGAGGTCGGCCAAGAACAAGAGAGGTCATATTTTGGACATAGATTCGACCTAAGGAGGCAAGAACACATTGGGAGCAAGGCGGAAAATTCTTCTACGAGTTTTTCCTTCCTCTTCCTATTTTTCATTGTTGGTTATGATTTTTAGTATTGTAGTTTTACATACTATTATGAATAGCTAATTTGTTATCTAGAGTTCTGATAGAACCTTTTGTAGGATAAATTCTTGTTATGTTTTTATATAGTTGAGCCATAGCTTTTCTCTATTTGTTCAACTACGTTTATATTGTGGTTGGTTGAAGAGCTCTCAATTAGCTGTGCCTATTTAGTATGCATAACTCGGGAGAGAGTGCATATTTAGGTAATTGTTGAACAACACCACTCCCAGAGTATATGAGGGATCAATAACCGAGGGTTTAAAGGTGGGATTAGGGATAACGAAGCCTTGGGTGCAATCTGAAGTGAGCTGTATTAAAAGCCAGCTAGCGTAGCTCGGGAGAGTGCGTCTAGTAAATTGTCGTAATTACTCGGGAGAGATTTACGGTAATAAGAGTGCTCATGATCGGTAGAGAATACTTAGGCGAAATTATAGAAGACATAGCGGGAAGGATTCCGACAATAGGGGAAATCATAACTCTAGACCTCCTTAATCTTTTCTCTAACCCTCAGTATCGTTAGTTCTTAATTTACTATTTTAATTTGTTAGTTAAGTAGTTAAACACAAGAATCTTAATATCTATAAGTTAGGAATTGTTCAAACTTGTCTTCTTGGTGATAGTGAACAACTGTAGCTAAACCTTAGTTCTCTGTGGGATTCGACTCCGGACTTGTAAACCGGATTATATTTGCAGCGACCGCTTAGTCCTTTTTATAAGGCATAGTTGGGCGTGATCACTCTATATGCTCAAAGAAAAATGTGTGCTCTATCTCTTTCCATTTGATTCGGGCATCCTAAAATGATTCATACAGAAAATAATGGGAAAGCCAATGTTATGATTGTAGCTCGATGCTTACCAGTTGTATATCTTCACGTGAGACTTTCTTAACCTCCCCACTAGACATTTTTCAATCTTCCAATACCAAATACGCTCAGCAGAAACTCGACGCAATTCCTGTTGACAAGACCCGGTAAAGGAAAAATCCACTACAATTGATTATCACCTGATAAGATATGTAACTTCTAGATAATTAGGATGTAGTCACCAAATCAACAACAACAACAACTACCCAGTAAAATCCCACCAGGTGGGGTCTGGGGAGGGTAATGTGTACGCAGACCTTACCCCTACCCGATAGGGCAGGGAGGCTGTTTCCGATAGACCCTCGGCTCAGAGAAAAAGAAAACAAGAACAGCAAAACACCCTAAAAAGAAAATTTAAACGAATACACAGAGAAGCTAGTAATACACATACAAAAGACACGACACTATGGCATCAAGCAAAACCACAGCAAAATGCAGGTAGTAGAGTTGAGGAGAAATATCTAAATGCACGTGAACATACATGTTAAGAATATCGTAGTTATATCGCAATATCAATTAGGGAGATTCATTATCAGTTAGGGTCAATTAAGAAGATGCTTTGCTTGTAATTATGTACTCTGTAAATTCCTTCTATTTTAGGATATTGTACATCAATGTTTAAACTGTTATTAGCTTGATGGAACAATCAAGCTGAAATATTTCCAAAACTTCTCTCTTTTCTCTGCATGGTACCAGAGACAGGATTTTAATCCCATCTGTGTAACTTCAATTTTTCCTATGTTCTACTGCAAAGGGAAAGAAAAATCAAATTGTGAGAAATACTTTTCTAGTCAATCTCGTATCCTACAATTACTGCTGTTAAATTTGCACGGCAGAAGTAATCATGTCTCTTCAGAAGTTCCAGTACAGTTATGGTTCACAAGTCAAGGATATGTTGACCACCTGATCAACCACATTGATTAAAGTAGATGCAAGACTGTGTAGTTTGCTATGGCATTCTCTTGACCCCCAAGCACAAATCAATTTCATTCATGAAAAACCAGTTGTAAGATATGGATTATGTCTAAAGCTTTGCATGCAGATTACTCTTTTGATAATGAGAACTTGAATACGGATTACATTCAGCGTATTATGTGGTAGCGTATGGACCTCTCTTTATACCTTGTTGAATATAGTATGAGTTCTACATAGAGCAGTGGAAAGAGCTACGGCAAGTTGGAAAATAAGAAAGATGGACTTCAGGAAAAGAGATGCATGGAAGGAAACTTCAGTATGTTGATGAATTGCAGAAAAACGAATAGAGGAACATGTGAAGGCATTGAAAGACAAATATGGAGAGGCAATAAGTCAAAAGGACATTTTGCTGATACTAACGTCTGCAGCAAGATGGCGAGTAACACTTAGGAGCTATGCAAGGAGAGAACAGGCAAAGTAACAGAAGAAAGAGAAATTCCAGGAACCTAAATCTTTCCCTTCAAAATATGCTAAGCTGCCAAGTGGTATGAAGCTTCAGCAGACCCCAGGCAGCAACGAACACTCATTATTCACCTCATAAAATCACTCCTCCAATATAAAAACTTAAACCATAAGTTACGGCAGAGCTAGGATTTCTTAATATTGGGCAAGGGGTTGAGGGGCATGAAGAGAACCTTTAACACATTTTTTGAGATAGGCAAGAACTTGTCCATGTCAACAAAGATATGATAGGTGAAGCTCGTATAATATGTTAAATTAAAATACAATGTTTCGCTTCATCTAGAAGTGATCTCTATTGGAGGCATGCTTCAACAGGAATCATACAAGGGTAGATTAGAAGCCTCTTGCAAATGCCCGCCCGTAACCCAGCAGATAAAGTACACCTCATTGCAGTAATTTGTACTTAACTCCATTACAAACCATAGACTATTAGTACAAGAATAGCTTCTAGACATCTCTCATAAACACTACATCTTCGCAATATTCTTTCAGCCTAAAATAATTATAGCTTCATTTAGACAGGTATCTCCTTGTAGAATGTTAGGTATTCCTTTATATTATCATAACTTCACAAGGTACTTGCATTGTGTTATGTATAGCATAACACAAAGAGAATCGAATGTAACAATCTTTTTTAAAAGAATTAACTTGGAAGCAATAACTACTCCAGGGATACCGAGAAGAGACACTTAAACATAACGAGTGGCAGAGCAACAACCAATGAAGGGGGTTCAATTGGATCTCCTTCGATCAATAATTATACTACGCAAATAGGAAAAAAATAAATAATTTTCATATATATGTACACTTTTGAATTCTCTCGACTTAATTTAGGTCGCAAGTTCAAAATTTTTGAATCCCCTTGTTAAAATTCTTGGCTCTGCCACTGAACAGAACCACCATAACTCTATATGATCTATAAGGAAAAATTTACATTTCAGAAAATGCAAAATAAACAACAATCAAATATTTCTCACCGTTTTCAAACATGTACAAACAACGCCTTAATCCCAAAAGCAAGTCGGAATCAGCTTATTCTGCTACATGAATTGCTCACTGTGCATGTTGCTCAATTTACACCCGTGTCAGTCCAATATTAATGTAAATAACTTTTTTCTAGCATAGAAGCTCTTTGAGTTTTCAAATGTGTTGAGTTCAAGATATAAAGGGCAATCATTGGAAAGAAAAAGTCATAACGAAACTTTACCTCTGTTACACTATTAGTTTGCGGAATTACCAAAGCTAGAAGAAAATCGCCGGCGAAGACAAATCGGAAAAGCCGCTGGTGCCGGCACTCTGATTCTGTTCACCGCTTCCTCGTTTTTTCTCTTTTCTGCAAAGTTGTTCGAAGAGATCACCGATGACGAGGTCCTTATACGGTGTCTATTTTCTCATATCGTTGTCACTGGGACCCCACAATTTTTGTAAAATTATGAATTGACCCCGGATTGCAAAATAGAAACAGTTAAGACAGTTACCTCTCCTTTTCAATAGTGTTTTACAGTTATAGGGATTTTTTCCACTATCCCTTTTTATGTTTGATACTCGGGATTATTATTCTATAGAAAATAATAGCGTAAAAACATTTGATACATTGCTTAGTAAATTATTGGTAAATTTCTATAGTAATTATAGATTGATTAAAATGGTAATTTGCTATAATAAGAAACTATTTTTAGCATTTTTGCTATATTTGTTTAGGTAATTTGCTATATTTGCTTAGATAAATATAAAAGAATTTTGTCATTTTTATCAAGTTAAAGGATTTTTAATATTAGAGTTTTATCAAGTTACCAATTATATTTTTTCTAGATATTTATCAATATTTACCTTATTTAATAATGGAGCACACTCATTTTTCTTTGTTAGCCCCTCTTTTATAGCTATACTATGTTACTAAACTTTATTCGTAACCAAATACCAAAGATATCTCCGTATGAGGCTGGATTATTAAAGGCAGAGCTATCACTGAGAATAAATTGTTAACTCAAGAGATGGTTCATAATATTAATCAATCTCCTAATATTGGAAATGTGGTGATGAAACTTTGATATGGACAAGGCCTATGACAGAATTTGGTGGGAGTATTTGTGCCAAGTACTGAGGCAGATGGGATTTGCGGAAATCTGGATCGATAGAGTTAGCAGGTTAATTTCAAATATCTGGTATTCTGCCAACACAAATGGGTCTCGGCATGGTTTTTTCAAATCAAGCAGGGGCACTAGACAAGGATATCCTATATCTCCTTCTCTTTTTGTAATTGGTGCTTAGTTACTTTCCATACTTATGGATTCTTTGCTGGTGAAAGGTTTTACCTCTTACTCTTTTGAGAAGAAATGGCCAATATTAACTCATCTTTGTTATGCTGGCGACACTATCCTATCTCATCTAGGGATCTTATATCTTTGAAGATGATGATGTCAAAACTGGAGGATTATCAAAGGGTGTCTAGGCAGTTGGTGAAAATAGAAATATGCTCTCTTTGTGTCCTCTAAGATCAATGACAACAGAATTGTTGATATCATAAGTATTGTGGGTTTTTCACACTCTCAATTTCCTATGCAGTAATTAGGGTGTCCTATTTTTGCTGAAAGGAAGAAAATTATCTATTTCAACAATATGGTTGCAAATTTTTCTAATAAATTACAGGGAGGCAAGGTAAATTGCTATCATATGGTGGTAAAGTTGTGCTTGTGAAGTCTGTTCTTGCATCACTCCCTCTTCATCTTTTATCTGTTCTTCATCCTCCTAAAACAGTCCTAGTTCAAGCCGAGAGAATTATGGCAAGCTTCTTTTGGGGAAAGATGGAGGATAAAAAGAAACATTATTGGATAGCTTGGAGCAAATTATGTTATCCAACTCAGGAGGGAGGTGTGGGATTCAAGGCACTGTAGGATATTTGTAACTCATTGCTGCCAAGATGTGGTGGAACTTCAGAACAAAAAATTCTTTGCTGATAGAATTTATAGAGGCCAAATATTGTAAAAGAAAGCATCCAGTTGCTAGAAAAGCTTCGTATGATCACTCTCACTCTTGGAGGAGGCTAATGGACATTAAAAATGAGGTTGAAAATTATATTTTGTGGAGGATAGGTAAGTGTGAGGTTTCTTTTTGGTGGGATAATTGGACTGGGAAAGGTTCTCTTGCCAAACTTGTTCAAAACAGCCATACTCACAAGAATATTAAGGTCTTTGAATTTTTTGAAGGGGGATCATGTAGTCAATCCAAGCTCAGAACAATTCTACCTTCAGAAGTGGTCAACTCCATTTTGAATATTTAAATACAATAAGACAAGGCAGATTACCCGATCTGGACACTGAACCCCAAAGGAAAATTCACCTGCAAGTCAGCATGGGACAAGATGAGAAAGCAAAAGAGCAGGGCACTTACCTCTGATATGATTTGGCAAAAGAAAATGCCATTCAAAATTTTCTTTTTTATGAAGAGACTGCTCGAAGGTAGAATATCTACTAATGATATGATTCAAAGAATTGGTATTCTCATCTCCTCAAGATGTGTATGTTGTGTAAGACATGAGGAGGAATCTATTCAGCATCTATTCTGTTATCTAATGTCTACCTTCTGTCATCTACTTGGAAATACGGAAGAGTAGATAAAATGCTAAGTTTGAAGGGATCAACATGTCATCTAGAATCATTATCCAATAGGTGTGTAGACTTATGATGATGTTGATTAACTGCAAATTCCCTAAGATCGATGCCACATACTTGGAATGATTTGTGTTGTGCAGTCGAGAATGCACAACAGGTCCTCTCTTGCCAGATGGTCAGGTGGACCAAACCAAGGGCTAACTATTTTAAACTTAATTCTGATGGTTGTAGTAAGGGCAATCCAGGAAGTTCTGGAGGTGGTGGTGTTATTAGGGATGAGAATGGTGATGTCATGTGTGCCTTTGCTGATTTCTATGGACATTGCAGCAACAACATGGCTGAAGCCAAAGCAATGCTTCAAGGAATTATCATATACAAGGATAGAATCGTATGACATATTATTGTTGAATCTGACTCCTTGGTACTTATTAATATTATTAACCATAGATTGAGGTCACCTTGGGAGATTGTCCTGATCTATGATCAAATTATCGGAATGATTCAAGATGGCAATATTACTTTTGTACATATCCTCAGAGAAGGAAACACGGTAGATGATTTTTTAGCTAATTTGGGTGAAAGTTTGAGAAATCAAGTTATCTTTAACAATATAGCCTCCTTACTAGGTCACATTAGAGCTTCAGTTGCAATGGATAAAGAAGGCATCCCAAAAAACAAAGAAGAACTAGTTTGTTATTAATGTTGTTCCATATGGATAGTACTATTTTTTGTATATTTCTTGTAACATTAGATGTAACATCCTTGTGTGTATTCTTTCACGCACAAGATGCAAGGGAGGGAGGCAATGGTCTACATCCTCCTTCATGTACTACTTATGTTTGATTATATACAGGTTGGGGTATAGTCTAAACCCCCAACCACCAGGGTGGATATTTTGATTGGCAAAAAAAAACAAATACCAAAAACTTAATTTGAAATAAATTCTCTTTGCTAACATATTTTTCATGGAGGGTATTTTCATGCAAAATGTTTTACATCATATCAAACAGTTAACCACTATGTCACTAATTATTTTTATCAGTTTAACATATTGGCAAAGAGGGAAAGAGTTTTTTCTTTTTTCCCCACTAGGAGGTTTAGGAAATGATATATAACATTTATATATTATTTTTTACTGTGACTTCTCATGATCATTTCTCAAAAAAACATATCAAACGATATATATGGAGTATAAAATAGAGCAAGGACTATAGGTGTGTTTTTGTTTTCTTCCTCTTTTTCACGAGGTTTAGGAAGTGATATGCGGACTGTTGGGAATAAATTTTCCACAGAAATAATATTCACAGTAATAAAATTGGAATAATTACGTAGCATAGAGATTCGATAATCAACAATAATAAAAGAGCGACAACACACCAATATTTTTACGTGGAAAACCCTTTTGAATAAGGGAAAAAACCACGACCCTGAGAGAAGCAACTGATATCACTATAGTAAGGAATTTTACACTTTGTAGTCCCGAGTAAAATACTACAAAGACCACTACAACACTCAAAAGAAATAACCCTCTTTTGATATTTCCACCTTACTACAATATCGCTCACACTCTCTATTTTTCCTCACAGACTATTTTCTTATACCCTGTCTGTGATGCCTCACTCTTTCTTTCTCTCTTTGTTGGTGTAATTGAAGAAGTGAGAGAACTCCTCCTTTTATAGGAGAAAGTACTTGGGCTCCAAGTTGCAAAAGAAAAAATAGAAAACCTTGGTAAATATTCACCACCTTTCGTTCCATTCTTTGGCTCCAAGAAAGGTTATCAACCAAGCCTTTATTTTATAGGCACATGTCTATAATCTTTACTTTAAAATTTTTTGTTTTTCTTATCAAATGGTATGGACCCTACAAATCTCCCCTTCCATACCCATTCACCGAAAGGAGATAATATCGGGTTTCTAGTTTGAATGCATACCGACAAGTTCTTCGCATAGCTTGAACTTGTCTCTTGGTACCACCTTAGTCAGCATATCTGAAGGATTCTTACTCGGATGGATCTTCTTGACATGCATAGATCCATCCTCTATCTTTTCCCGAATCCAGTGATATCGCACGTCGATATGCTTTGTTCTTGCATGATACATGGTATTTTTGCTCAAGTCTATTGTACTTTGGCTGTCACAATAGACTATATATTCCTTCTGGTGCAATCCAAGTTCTCAAAGAAACCGTTTCAGCCATACCATATCCTTGCCACTTTCAGTAGTGGCAATATACTGCGCTTCAGTTGTAGAGAGTGCGACACACTTCTGCAACTTCGACTGCCATGATATAGCTCCCCTTGAAAATGTGAATAGGTATCCGGTAGTAGATTTACGATTATCAAGATCACCTGCCATATCAGCATCCGTGTAGCCTTTCAAGATTGGATCAGATCCTCCAAAACACAAGCAATCTCCTATAGTACCTCTTAGGAACCTGAGTATCCACTTGACTGCTTCCCAATGTTCTTTTCCAGGATTTTCAAGGAACCTGCTAACAACACCAACGGCATGAGCAATATCAGGTCTGGTGCATGCCATTGCATACATCAAGCTTCTGACTGCTGAAGAATAAGGAACTCTGGTCATGTTCCCTTTCTCCTCCACTGTTGTAGGACACATCTTCTCGCTCAACTTCAGATGACCAACAAGAGGTGTGTTGACTGGCTTATCACTTTTAATGTTGAAGCGTTCCAGTACACATTCAATGTACTTCTCCTGAGATAGCCACAACTTTCTGCTTGTTCGCTCTCAAACTA